GAATGGAAATCCAAAATCTCTGTAAATGCTCATTAAAATTATTTTTAAAAAAATAAAGCTTAAGAAGGAAAAAAAAAGGTATTTTACAAAGATGACAACTCTGTGTTATTTTCATTCTCTCTACAGGGTGCTTTTGAAAAATTACTCCTTTAGACAGAGAGAAAGAATACATGATTTCTTTCATAGAATTCTGCCCTAATACCAAAAATAAATTCTGAACTCCTGCCAACTAGACAAAATTCCAGTTCAGTGCCCTCATTTCTGTATTCAAGTCCAAAGCTTTTGGCACACAGTAAGAATTACTGTTCAATTGCCATTTGAACTGAATGAAATAGCTTCCCTATCTGCATAAGTTTAAATAAGCAGTTATTTAAAAATATTACTATCTCCCAATATAAGAAAATAAAGTATAAAAACTTCCCAGAAATTATTTCATATTTAACATTTTGCATGATATTGGTTTGTCCCTTAGTGAGACAATTAAAAATTATAAAGATGCCAATTATAAAATATATTTACATGGAAAACAATTTTCATGAAATCTCAACAGTAATTTTTTATTTATTAATTTTTTTAAAAATTTCAATGAACATCTACAGAGATTTTGGAATTCCACTCATTCATTTGTTGCACTTTTCTCCCCCCCACCCCACCCCCACCCCCTGTTCGCTCTCAACAGTAATTTTAAGAGTAAAATAAAGATATGTCACATTTGGAAACAAGAACAGTAAGAATGTCACTGAAATTGTTTTTTTAAAAGAAGAGTTGTTGTTGTTTTCAGGTACCACAGGGCCAATTCCAACTCACAGTATCTGCGGTGGTTAATACTTCTGTCAATATGACCATGACCTCTAGTATATTGTAACTATTCTATGTGTTATTAATTCAAAACTCTGTGATGTTAATGAGGCAAAAGGAGAGACAGAAGCAGGCTGATCTAATGATGGGGCCTGCGCTGAATATATGTACAGCTTCTCTGGCAAAGGTGGTCAGATGTGACCCACAGCCTTAGCCTTTGATCTTCATTAGCAAGTACTTCTGGACTTCAATTTTCAGCGAGCGAAGCTGCATCATCTGAGTAATGCATAAAGTAACGTTATAAAGTCTTCCTCTAATCCTGATTTTGGAGTCTTTGATTCCTCATGTAGACCACCTTCTCGAGTTATTTGAAGAATATATTGAGTAGAACATATAGACTGTGCAGTATCTTATTTGCTCAATTCAACATTTGTTTCTTGGTCTATGTTCTACAAGACCATAATTAAATGTTCTCAAATTTGAATTCTCCACAGTGTTGTTATACATAATTTGTTATGATCTACACAGTTGAATGCCTTTGCCCAACCAATAAAACATAATGATCTGAAAGATCATACACTTTCTCTGTTTTCAGCCAAATTCTATTTGCATTTCTGGTAGTTTCCTATTGATTCACTGCTTAACTGGTTGGTAATGAGTAAGGTGTACAGCTTTCTATTTGTGTTCTCGCTTTCAGTTATTTGTGACTATATCTACTATTGAGGGAGCTCTGGTGGCCTAGTGGTAAGAAGCTGCGCTATGATCCCAAAGGCATATGGTTTGAATCCACCAGCTACTTGGTGAAAGAAAGATGGACAATCTCCTCTCATATGATTAAAAGATTCTGAAAACCCACCGGAGAATCAGCTATGGGTTGGTTCTGAATCTAAGGTATACAACAACAACATCTACAATTGGGATTGCTCAGTTATAATGGTAGTCCTATATTCATGTTAGGAACTACAAAATAATTCTCTGTGGTTTCCCTACTATGACTGCATTCCAACTAGCAATGGACTGAGAGTTCCCAGTTCTCCACATCTTTACCACTGTTATTTTCTGCCCTATTCTCTTTTAATCACACAACTTATTAAGAGTAGCAAAGGATCACATTGAGCCTGATTTGCAGCTCCCATGATTACTTCCCAAGAAGCCCAGGCAGCATAGTGTGTAAGGTGCTGGGCTGCTAAGCTAAGGGGCAGTGGGTCACATACACCAGTCACTGTGTGGGAAAGAGGTGGGCAGGCTCCTCCCATTAAGATTCAGTCCCAGAGACCCAGCAGATGAACTAGGAGCTGGAGACCATTTGACAGCAGTGAGTTAATGACTAATGTCAAGGAGTACTGACAGCACCATTGTTAAGTGCTCAACAGACATGGCACCCAGGGGTCTGCAGGAAAAAAGACCTAGAAATCTTTCCCTTGTAACGAGTGTTACTGTTGCTGGGAGATGAGTCACTTCATACTCAATAGTGACCCCAGCAAGAAGCACTGTAGGCTCCTGCACCATTTTCACACTCGTCTTGTTCTGTTCGAGTTGACTACTGCAGGCACTGGGTCCATTTAGCTTACTGACTTTTCCCTCTTTTTCACTGACCTTCCTTTTCTAAATATGATGTTCTTCTCCAGGCCTCTCCTAATCATATGTCCAAGGTATATGAGATGACGTCTTGTCATCTTCGCTTCCAAAGGAACATTCGGGTTGACCTTTTCCCAAGTCAGATTTGTTTATTATTTTGATGGTCAATAGTCTTTGCTAACCCCCCAGTTCAAAGGCATCAGTTCTCTTTCAGTCTTTCTTAGTCATTGACCAATTTTCACACGTATGAGGCAACTGAAAATACCATGGCATCAGGACTGGGGGAAGTTTCACTAACTACAATATGCCAATTTCACTTTGCTTGCTGAAAGTAGAGACAATTTGAAACATTCATTGATGAAAATTAAAGATGACAGCCTCCAGCATGGATTACCCTCAATGTAAAGAAAACAAAAATCCTTACAACTGGACCAATGGGCAACATCATAAAGGCCTGAACAGGTCACCTGAAGCAAAATGTAACCTGCTTATGCAATCCGACCCTTGCTACAAGCATTATCAGGCATATATGCCTATCTTAATCCTATTACTACCTACTACAGGGTTGTTGCTGTGTACCATCAAGTCAGACCAACCTGTAAGCATTATTAAACTCTTAACTAGATAAGAACAAGTTCTTTTTCCTATATTATGTGAATGACTTGGTTTCAAAATCAAAGAACAACTATGCAGTCTAACAAAGGCTAAATAAATACTAAAAAAATAAAAAGCATACAGCATTGACTTCCTTTTGCATTTTCAAACCAATCAGTAAAGGCTGTCAAACCTACCAGCATGCTTACCATTTTTGTTTTTCCGACTAGGGTCTGCTCCGCTTTTTAGAAGCTTTAAGGCACACTGCTTGTGGGCTCGATAAGCTGCACAATGCAAAGGCGTATTCCCTAATTGATCCGAACAGTTAACATCAGGAGGACTGGGCCTGTTGAGCTGAAGAGCAGAAAGATGAAACAGAATTACACATCAAAAATTGACTCATAAAACACAGGAATTCTAGGTGAGAACTTAGCTGACTTGCAAACTACAGAACCTGAGGCACCGCTGGGCTCCTGGGCAGCTAGCCTCCCAGAAGCTTCGTGCTCTTGAACCAGTCAAGATTGTCACTCCCAGGCTTGTTCAATGTGTCACCAAATTTCAGGTCCATAGTGTCCATGCCCAGCTCTTCTCTGGAAATTAGTATTTCATTAAGATTTCTCTCCCTCCTACCAGTCTTCTAAGCCAAACTTGTAACAACAAAATTACAATTAAGTCTACCACTGATGGCCCTTAAGAAGAGTCAATACCAAAACATATTAAATGTGTAAATGCCAAAATTCTACTGAATTTGTCACTGTTAGCTTATTGCTCTAAAGAATACTTGAAGGGGTGCTCTGGTGGCCTAGTGATAAGGAGCTGCAACTACAATCCCAAGAGGCGCAAGGTTCAAATCCACCAGATGCTCTGCCGGGGAAGGAGGGACAATCTCCTCCTGTACCAGTCAGATCTGATTTGATGGTACACTCACACAAAAATAATAAAAGAAGAAAAAGAAAAAAGAATACTTGATGCACTCTTCACTTCACAGAATTTCAGGCTTTTTATTTGGAAGCCAAAGAGACCTTTTTAAATGAGCTGAACAGCAAACAACATTGCTTCAAGTCTTAAATACTGAGCAAATTTAGAATTCCATGATTAATGAGACCATACAGGAACTAGAAACTAGAAAGTAGGTCTCCAAAGAAGAAAAAAGTAGGGAGGAAAAACACAGGCAGTGAGCAAACCCTTCAGACTGCTCTAGCAGCCACACATTTCCAAGTACTTTTGTCTTTTGTATCTTATTTCCTGGATCTACAGTCACTATTTCTTTCAGAATGTAACGCTCATCAAAATTAGGAAAACATCTTCTTTTATATGGTCCTATAAGTTAGGCTTCAATTTTAAACTGCTTTATGTAGAGGAGGGATAGAGATGTCATTATGCAAGTCATTAGAGTTGAAAAAACTGGATTTTCATCTTCCTAAAAGGGGTGGGCGGTCTGGGCCGAGAGGGACGAATATAAATCAGAAATTCAGAAAGAACCACCCCAGTGGAGAATACATGCTACTTAACTGTAACCATGGCAATGCTACAGTGTTTTTATACACACAACATCTTGTTTTGCTATTATGAGTGCCAGAGTTTTGGTCTCACTAATAAACTAAGTAAACTAACATTAAGTGAAAATTTTCTTAATGTATAAAAGACCTTTTTTTTTTACCAGTGCAATGAGTTCTGCTGTTTTGCCTTCTCTTGCTGCTGCTAAAAGTAATTCTTCAAGTTTTCTTTGTTGAGTCCGTTCTACAGCTGAAAAAAAGAAAATATGTCAATCAACTCTTAGGATGGATCTTATGTGTATTTATTAAAAAATGATGTATGAAGAAGATGGTGGCCATGTTGAGAAAAAGAAAATAAGTGTTTTGTATTTCAAACACCTTTAGGCTTACTGCTATCCTCACTGTCTTACATTTAAAAATTGAGATTTGGGTAAATTTACATTTTTAATTCAGAGGTCTTGAAGTGTTCAGTCATGATAAAAAAACCAGAAATAGTTATAACTTATTTTTGCTAATGTAAATGCTATCACATACCTGCCTTGGAAAGGAAGATAAGGGAGTAGGTTCATAGTTTCATTCACAAAACTTAGTTTCATTCATAAAATTTAAAATGTAAACAGAAAAGCAATACTAAGAAATAACATAGCTAGGAAGATATACCAACCACATAAATATACTTAAATTTATATTAATATTTTAAAATTTAGATTAATTAATTTATATACTTCCAGGAAATCACGTAAGAGGAGACTGCCCATCTTCTCCCACAGAACAGCTGGTGGATTTGAATCACGTGCCTTTGTGATTATAGTGCAGTTTTTTACCATTGTGCCACCAGAGCCTTTGAGTTGTTATGTTGCCATCAAGTCATCTGAGACCCATACCAACCCTACAAGCCTTCACTGTCCTGGGCCAGTCTTACTGATTCCAACACACCTAACCGCATTGCCCCAGCTACTGTGTCAATCCATTTCATCCAGGGTCTTCCTCTCCTGTGACATCTCTCCACCCTTCCAAGCATGAGGCTTGGAAGGGCAAAGGGTCAGCAAAGGAGAGGAAGTTCCTCAACCATGTGGATACACACAGTGACTGCTGCAATAGGCTCTACTGTGCCAGGAAGTGTGAGGATGGCACAGGATAAGACAGGGCTCAGATATGTTGTTCATAGGGTCACTTTGGTCCTAACGATGACAGAACAAAAAGCTGTTTTCTGAACACAGCTAGGGAACACTGCATGGTTCAAAATCAGGAAAGGTGTGTGTTGGAGTTGTATCCTCTCTCCAAATCTATTCAATCTGTATGTTGAGAAAATTATTCAAGAAACTGTACTCTGTAAAGAAGAATGTGGCTCCAAGATTACAGGAAGATATGTCAAGAACCTGTGTTATATAGATGACACCTGCTTGCTGAAGGTGAGGAGGACTTGGTGCACTTGTTACAGAAGACCAACGACTATTCCTTCAATATGGATACTTACATTTCAGCATCAAGAAAACAAAAATGCTCCTCACTATACCAATAGGTAACATCATGATAAATGGGGAAAAGATCAAAACTGTCAAAAAATTTAACTTACTTAAATCCACAATCAACACACTTGGTACCAAGAGTAAGGAGATCAGGAGACATACTGTACTGAGAAAGTCTGCAGTCAGAAACCTCTCCAAATTATGGAGGAACAACAATGTCAGTTTGAAGACTAAGGTATGTCTGAATCAGATCATGGTCTTTTCAATTACTTCCTATGCATCTGAAAGCTGAACAATGAATAAAGAAGAAATAAGAACTGATGTCTTTGAACTGTAATGTTGGAGAAAATGACTGAATATCCCATGGACTGCCAAAAGAACAAACAGATGTGTTCGAAAAAATGCAGGCAGAGAGCTCCTTAGAGGCAAAGATGATACAGCTTTGCCTCACATACTTTTGGCATGTTGTTAAGAGAGGCTATTCCTTATAGAGGGTCATCATGTTTGGAAAGGTGGAAGGTCAGTGAAAGATACAAAGACCTTCAAACAGATGGTCTGACATAGTGACTGCAGTAATGGACTCAAATATGCAGAGATGAGGAGGATAGCCTAAGACAGGACAGAGTTCAGATCTTGCATTCATAGGAGTCCTAAGAGTCATATGCAAGTCGATGGTGTCTAACAACAACAATAACTTCTGTCAGAATCAATTTAATATGCAATTGTCGGGATGGGACCCCACTCTAAGCTAGGGACAGTTTCTTTTACCACAAAATCATGTATCTTGGGGAGGGAGGAAATTATGCAACAGTGAATTTTTTTTAAGTGAATCAAGAGGGTAGTAGGGAGGAAAGTGTGCAACAATGAATGAATGAAAATCCAACTTTTCTGTAAACTTCCATTAAAATCACACTTAAAAAAAGAAAAATCTTTTGTTTTATAAATTTCATATTGAATATGACTAAAAGCCAATGCTTTATCATTCTTTTGAATCCAAATCCAGAATTAGTAGGGTTTATTATAGTCATGAAGTCTAACTCTCCCGAGGATATCGGAGCTGGCCACACCTGTCTCTTCCAACCTCACGTGACTCCCTGTTGCTTCCCTCACAGTTCAAGTGCCCTGTGTTTCCTTAATTCTTCATTACCCTGCTGCTTTGGTCTCTAAGTCACAGCTCTAATTTTCCAATTTTCATTCTGCTGGTAATTTGACAAACACATAAGAAAATATGATGGTCTTTGTATAAATTAAAGAATTTAAAAACTGTAATACTGCCTTAAGAAAATGCTCACAATGACTTCTGTAAACAGATTCTCTTTAGAATGTAGGCTTGGTGGTATCTGTTTTAGCCCCAGAGAAGGCATGTTTCACTTACCTTCTGGATCTGAGTGATTACTCAAGAAAATGATTTCTAGAAAATGGTTTATATTAACATCCCTAACAGATACAAGCTGTCAGATCATGGGTTGGACAATGGAAGATATTTTCTGAAGGGACTTGGCAGATGAGAAGAGTTATCCTGGTTGAGGGTGGAGCTGGGAAGTAAGTGGGTCAAGGCTCTGGGCTAAGGGTGGGGTCAATACTGTAACTAATGCTTAACTCCACAATAAGGGATTTATCTTTCACTGCTTCACA